ACTCTTGCTTCCGATTTTGTTCGTTTATTTTGTCGTCTTCATTCTCCCCAGGTGGGCTATCAATCATGATTGACTGATTTGAGCTCAAATTGAAACAGAAAACTTGTGGCACAGACTCGAGGCGAGCTGTCAAACAGTGAGCAAGACGCGACGTGCCGAACTGTATCCAAACGCGGGTTGTGTGTTGTTGAGGGTGCTTCCTGCACGAGATAACAAGGAGGGTTTTAGCTAGGCCATCTGGTTTGTAGACGCGGCTCGGGTCTGATGTCGGCTGATTTCCGCGCCTAACAAGCCCTTTCCTCTCCCCTCTCGCACTAAGCGGGTCGATAGAAGCCACAGCCCCGGTGTCCTTATGCAAGGCCTCTCCTGCACGGCACTGATTTGTGATTTATCATTTTTCTGGTACAGGACGTCTGCATTCTAGCTCTCATTTCTGACGCTGGGGGCGCTAGTTAGGATTGACGATTGTGCCTTTCCAATTCGGGAGATTCACAATGCTGTGCGCCACCAAGAGTTTGCCATAGAGAGTTTATTTTTTCAAGTTTGCGGTCGACAAAACATGGCCCATTTGAATGAGTGTCAGTAAACAACTTGAGCCAAATTTTGTTATAGATTTTGCAGATTTACAAAAAAACATATTGATAAAAAGAAAAGAAAAGGGCAACCATACTCGAATCATACGCTTATGAAACTACTGACCGAAAAAAAATAACAATTTCAAATAGCCTGCGCTCCGAATTTGTCGACCATCTCCTACAATGCACTGGGGAAAAAATTAACTCTCCCTGGCAAACTCTTGGTGGCGCACTGCATTGTGAAACGCCCGAATTTCCATTTTGGGTCCTTGTTTCTTATTACTCCACCGGTGCGATAAAAACGTACTTGTACTGTCAATAACTGGTATACAGTTATATCTTTCGATGCACAGGCACTAGAGTCTAACTGGGATTTCATTGAACAAGTCCGATTCAAGAACAATTAATTATTCCCGGAGTTTTTTCTAAACTTCTGCATCTTAAGAGAGCCTCCTCCACGTGGTCGAAAATGGAAGCAACGCTCGTTGATCCAATTTAGACTTTTCTCGCCGTACACATTTGAAACAGGCATGCAACTTTTCCTTGGATCAGCCGATTTCCTCTTGTTTTTACTCCCCATGTGTGCCATTAAAAAAAACACTGTACAAAGTCTTGGAAAGATTTGAATTTCCTCCTTTTTGTGACTTTCCAGTTGCATGCCCGTTGAAAGCCTCCCCCCCCCCCCAAAAAAAAGAAGGGCCTGATTTGCTTCGGAGAATTAGAACGATGTCAGCGCTCGTCACATTTTATCAACACAAAAACAGTGGCATGGCATACAAGTAATAACATTTTCCTGTCTGCTAAATTTGCAGAACCGTGTACTTAAAAATAATGTTTGCTTGACCTCGCTTTATGAGTGGGCCAACTAGCCCCTTTCTAAGTAATAAATATAAAACATATTATTCATCTCCCCACAATAACATTGTGTTAGGAAGAAATTGTGGTCCGGGTTCTGTTCACATACCACTTTAGCTTCTTAAGCATTCTGCCAGCGTCCAAATTGCCCGAGAAATCACTGCGTCCTCTCCGAGCGAAGCGATGTCAAATTTATCTTAATTCGGCCCCAATCTTGGTAACGAATGAAGTAATTCTCTGTCTGCGTTGGACGCAGAAATCAAATTTAGCATCTAAAAGCATTTATCAATTATCGGGCCATCATATTTGGGCTGACCCAGTTCTGCCCCTTAAGTGTGCTAGTCAAACGCGGGCAGAAAATCAGATTTCCTCTACATATAATTGTTTCTCGACAAACATGACTCACGTCGGATTTATTTAGGCTCGGAATCTCTGTTAGACATTTCAACATCTCTAGCCAGGAGACATCTTCTGTTCGTTTGAAACCTCGGCTACGCAAAAAAAAAATGTCAGAACAGTTCAACGGTAAGACGCGGCGCAGCGCAAAACACAATTGTTTGTGACACACTGAAGTATTTTTATTGAAAGAAAAAGAGGGGTTGACAAATGCCGTTTGGGCTGTGGCGAGGAAAGGTTAGAATACATTAAAAGTTTCTCTTATCAAACCAGCAAAACATAACTTGGAGGAGAAATGTAAGGGAGTATTCTCCCACAAGATTGCCCGGAAAGGGTCTTTAACATAGAATTATAAAGGGTTCTCCCAAATACGCACGATGCGGATTAACGTTTGCTTAAAAAAATGCATGTTCTGTAAGGCCAGAAAAAGTCTTCGGTTTCTGGTATGGAGCTTGCCCCAAAAGTTGTCAATTTGTTTTTATCTTCAAATATCGGCTGATGACTGCAAATGGTGCCCGACTAAATTGAGTGCAAAATGTATTGGAGCCCAGAGAGGCCACACAAAGCTTATACTCGATCGTAACCCCATCTGAAAAACACGTTAAAATTATGCAGCAACAGGATTCCAGTCAAACCAGTGAGTTTGGCGGTCTTGAGACATCATCTTACATTGAAAAAAAAAAACTTTTTAATTTTGCCAACGCGCATGGCTACGGCGACGCGCGCGCAGACCAGAAACTGAAGCCTTTTTTTTGCCTAAAGTTGTTACACCCAAGGGTATGTCTGTAATCAACGAATGTCCAAAGTGGAGTTGTTCAAAGCCTTCATGTAGTTTCCATGGAATTGAACGCTTCTGTTCATGTGTTTACACTCCGAATTCCGTTCCTTTCCATCATGCACACAAAATCTTCAACTTGTATATCTGCTGCCACCACGAGTCTCAAATCTTCCTACACTCCGGCGAGTCTGCAGAAATAACCACAATAAATGTTAAAAGCGTGCAGGATATGGATCTCGTCTGTTGGTCGTAAACGAATAAACACACCTGCTTTTGTATGTTTTTGTTTGTGTGAGTTTTTTTTTCTTCAACCAAAAATATAAGGTTCCGGTACTACATCATAGCTTTGATTCTATTAGCATGCAGTGGGAACCAACGAATACAAATGGCATGCCGCAAGCACGCAAGATCGTACAGCGGCATGGCTTCGATGTCGTACATCACAAATGCGTCAGAAAAATAGGCTTTTTCGTCAAGATTTAGCTTGTCAGGTGAAAATAATATCGTGTGTAACGATTATAATGTGCATGTAAATGGCGTGCGTAATAGTATACATGTGCGTATGATTTATTGGGGGCTGAAAAATGTGATCGGCAATTTTTATTTTTTTTGCGTGAGCCATTATACTGACAGCTCGATCGGTTACTTCTGACACGCGTTCTGGGTAAAATGTCCCTTACCGAAAGTCCAGGTGTGGACAGTGGTCACATTCGACCATTTTTCATGTTACCATCGTCTCGGTACAACCTTCTCCCCCAAAAAGTCCAGTGTGGACACGGCTATTGTGTATTTGTTTTTTAGTACCGCTTGGTGGCGCTCTCCATGTCATACAAGTGTTAAACACGCTACAGTATTAAACAACTGCCACCCCGAACAAAAATGTTGTCCCGATAAAACCGATGTATGAAGCTAAAAGAAAATGGAGTCAGCCTTCAAGAGGAGGAGGGAGAGTAGCTAAAAGTTCAAAATTGCCAGATCAATTTTAATCATCAGAGTATCGGCTACAAATTGTCATGCAATTCCCTGCGCATGTGGTTTTTGTGTAATTGGATTACTGCCAAGAAGTGCCGTTGGGGCAAAGTGCAGGCAGGTCTCGTCTGACCCCTGATGGAGTTCCCGTCCCGACATTCCGAATCTAAATTGATAATCGGGAGTGTTCCGCGGTGGCTACTGTATGCGTTCTGATTAGGTAACCCACCAAATAACAGGTTAATTATAAAAACATTAGTCGCGCAAACAACCCGACTATAATTCCTGCATCGTTATACTGCTGGCGATTCTCTAAAAAAAAAAAAAGCTTTTAGGTCTCGCAGAGCGAGATAATGGTGTGTGTACACATTCAATTAGGCAGAACATTAAAACAAAAAATACTTTTAAAAAAAAAGCGAGTTAGTGAGTGCAATGACATGCTGACGGCCAGTAGGACGCGATGTGGCCAGAGCCGGCTTGAGATGGGGACAAAGTACAAAATATGGGCAGAAAAAAGCGCCACACTTCAAAGACAGATGTGATGAAATTGCTATTGGGTTCGCGTCACTGGTTTTGATATAAACAGCAATTCACGGCATTTAATAGAACCCAATACATTAAAGGCATTAAATGAACCTTTATCATCCTGCCACCATTTCAGTTGTGTTCCCTGTATCCAATAACAGTGCTGAATGATGGTATTTTGGGTGCAAAAAGGAACCAGACTATTGTTTCAAGATGGCCGCAACATGATAATGGTCTATACACGTACACCTTACCGCACTTTTCTGTCCTTTCATGTGTCCTTTATTTTGCCCAACTTGCACGCCTGATTTTTTTATTTCCACTGATTTTGCCGACATTCATTTTTGGGGGGCAGACAAGACAAACAAGCTGTCGATAACGACGAATATACTTCTGTAATTGTGGAACTTCTTACGACATGATACTTAACAAAATAAGCATTACAATGCAACCGAGGCATGCGCACAGCCTTAAATCGCAACTGGGCATCTCCTGCCACAAGAGGGCCTGATCTAGTCGCGCGCGAGGCCGAGTTGACTTGATGTGTATAGTGAATTCAAACACCGTTGATTTTGCAGTGAATTTTGTTAGATTTAATTTTTTTTTGCGGGGGGAGGGAGGAGAACTCAACCAAACTACGTTGGTTTACAAACTAAAATCAATGAAGATACTCTGTAGAATGGCAGTGAAAAACATACCCCAAAAGGGAAGGTGATGTACAATCAGTTTGAGAATTCGGGGATCTCCGATTTAACGGGACTCCAACCCGGATCGGTGGGTTAAAATTGCTGGGGGAAAAAAAACTAATGTACAAACACGGCTATCCTGTCCACATTTTCTCTCTCTCCAAATGTTCACATTTTCAGTTATTTCCTTTTTCTTTTCTTTTATTTTTCTGACAGCGCCACTGCCAAACCTGACATCAGACGACGTAGACAAAGCTCTTCAGCCTTCCCCCAGGGCTCCGCCTAGCTCACAAGGTATAACCAATTCAGCATGCATGCGCTCTTACTAAACCTAGAACATAAAATACAAAAATACCAACCCAAGTCCGTATGTAATTAAAGCATCTGACTGAGCAATGATTCGGGCGATTCACAATGCAGTGCGCCACCAAGAGTTTGCTACCGAGAGTGCATTTTTTGTTCCCAGTGCATTGCGGGAGATGGTCGACAGATTTGACAGATTAGAGAAAACAGTCAGTGGTTTTCACTGACTTGTTTCAAGAGTGAACAGGTAGTATTCAATTCAGCGGACTCGAAACAAAGTCTTGGAAATTAAGTGCCCTTGTAGCCTGAATATCCGACTCCATGAAATATGGACTCTTTGGTAGTATTGCGCATGCGTAAAGTACGATAATATGCTATTTTTAGGATCGTAACGGGAGAGTGACCTGTCACGTGCGAGGGATTAACCAATGATAGGGAAAAGCAGTCCGACTTTCATAGGCGTCGGATTTTCATACGACACCGTGACATGAAACGACATTCATTCAATGTCATTCTGCATAGTGTGTCAAAATCGTCATTGCGTTTGCCAATTAACTTCCGAGGAAAACAGAAAAGAACAGGAAAGAAAAGAACAAAAACACAATGACCCGTGTTTATTGTGCACGGCGTTCTCCCTCTTGCTTTTTAATATTGCCTGTTCTGCCCCGTGTGGACGGTGCCTAAATATTTATATTTTAAAAAGAAAAAAAATTCACGCGACAACAAACAAGCCCTCCTAGCGAGCCGATTGAGTCGTGGTTCCGGAGGAAACGAGGCTTCGTCTCCCCTTCACGATCCCTTCACTCCCCGCCCAATAACACTAAAACTCCGCATCGATGCGGATCGCGGAGTAGACGCGGGGGAGAGAATGCCGTGTTGACAAGAAAAACACCGGACTCCCTTGCCCCGTTTTGGTTTTGAGCGGACGGAAGAGGAAAGCAGACCCGTGTATCCCCCCAGCAACCTTCCGATGCTTCGATCGCCTGGGCGCGGTGTGATGATTATTATTGTCCGGACTATTTCCCCAACTCTTTCTCTCTACCTTTTTTTGGCCCCCGTCTCTTGACAAACATATTTATGGAGTCCTGGTCGTGTTGATTGTGCGATGAACATAATTTCATCTTGGACAAAAAAAATCCGGTGAGGCCTGTTCTGTGTTTTTATTATGAGCTTTGTGCCGCAGGTTTGACAATTTCGGAGCTTTTGGCCTGTCGTTTTTAACTCTTATTGAAAATCGATGGGGAATCAAAACATGTGACTGTTTTGGTTTCTTGGGCATTGCAGACGACCAAACAGAGATTGCATTGGTGTGCGCTGTGTTGCTTCCACGGTTGTTATCGTTACCGGTCGTTGTATGAAAGTTGGCATTGAAGTTAATTCATACAGTACTCGACTAGAGTCATTATAATTACCGACATCGGCATGACTATGGTCACCATTGCTTTCGTAGCCGTCAGGAATACTTATGCTCTCAACATTGGCATTCTAGGCACATCACCATAGGCTAATTATCATCATAGCAATCGCAAGCTTCCTATCGCCATAACAATCATCATCAGAGTTGCCTACACCATCCACACAATGATATTCTCAAGCATATACAATCATCATTTACATGATTACCATGCAACTGCTCAATCACCATTTAACATCACCACACAATCGTCGCCTTAATCATCAACACCCTCAAATCATAATCACCATGCATCCCATCACCACCACAACAACTATTACTGTCAAAACATAGTCAAATCACCACCAACATCCATCATCAACACCTTCAAATGCATAATCACCGTGCATCCAACCACCACCACAACAACTATTACTGTCAAACCACAACCAAATCACCATCATCATCATCACCATCATCCCCAATCCACAACTCTAACCTGTAACTCTAAACCATCATCAATTTCAAACCACAACCAAATCACCGTCATCATCATCATCATCACCATCATCACTAATCCACAACTCTAACCTATAACTCTAAACCATTATCAATTTCAAACCACAACCAAATCACCATCATCATCATCATCATCACCATCATCACTAATCCACAACTCTAACCTGTAACTCTAAACCATCATCAATTTCAAACCATATCTAAATCATCCTCCTCATCATCATCATCCCCATCAAAATCACCATCGCCACCAGCACCATCATCGTTTTCTTACCCTTATGTGCGAACCCAATTAGATTCTCACTTCAAGCGAATTTAAACAGCATGCGAACCAGTTTATCAAGCTGTAACGCTGAAGGTATACAATGAAACACTTTACTTCGCATTCGAAATTTATCAAGGGAATGATCTTCACTTTCCTCCTGACTTCGCAACATCATTATTTTCTTCTGGCATACATCAAACTCATTAGTGCACAGGTATATGAACCGTTAAATGTTGACATGTACTTCATTACATCGAATATTGATGGACATACCTAATGAAAGCGTTAAAGGGCCCATGCAAAGTAACTTTTGTAGTGCAGTCCTTAAACATGCACCTTTGTGTCCCATTTAACCTTATTTTCAATATTCGTTTTGCCATTTTCAAGGGTATTTTGGTGCCTTTTGAATATGCTATCGCAAATTTCCATATTCATGAACAAATCTGTGATGTCATCCCGGGCATAAACCTCAATGTTACCGCTATTTCAGCACAAAAAGTTGCTAGAATTGTGGATATTTTGCTGTCGTACACATTATTTTCTTTGGTGATTCGTTGTTAAGTAGTACATGTCAGTAAGCCGATGAGCAAAGTTTTCTCACAAATGTTTTCAATGAGCAAAGTTTGGGTTCACAAAGTAAACAGAAAACCCCTAAACTGAACAGTGTCTTCCTGAAATGACATCACGCAACAGCGCCTTCAGTTGTCCGATAAAGCACAGAACATGTGAAATGTTTAAAGAAGTGCACTTTTCAATAAAATTTACCAAAAGGGATGTCAACTAGTTTTCGTACATTTAAGAGGAGAAGAACGTTGCACAAAATGTGTTCCAAAGAAATATTGATCGCATGGCCCCTTTAATACAAGCTATAGATCGATTGCATTTAGCAGCCATCTTTGTTTTGTTATGTTAATTCGTTAACAATGAATGCATAAGAGGTCTTCTTATGAGTATCCCTGTTGAACAAAAGCACGTGTCACACCTCCATGAGGGCTAAAAGGTGGGCGCGGCATCCGGGAATGTTTTACATTGGCTTATCTAGCTCCCAGACCTATGTTCTTGAAACTCAATGGTTCTTGAGTCTGGAGTGCTGAATGCATTCGAATGGTGACACACAGCAACCGATGAAAACTGATGTGCAAATGAATAGGTGTTTTCATCGGATGACGTCACTCCGCCCCCATCTATAGCTGTTCTTACCGATGATTAAACAGAGAGAGAGTTCCAAAGAAGCCAAAGGCAATAGATAGAGTATTGAGGAGGAAAACTCTAAAATAATAAGAAAGAAACGGGTAAGGACTGAAGCCAAAACACAGATTACCTGCCTTGACAGGATTCGAACCCCGAACTCACAGATATACAGTGAAATCGCGATAAGTCAAACCTCAAGGGAACAGGTTCAAAATTTGACTTAAGCAGAGTTTTCAGTTAAGCAGGATTGTATATCATTGTTATACCACTGAAGGGAATGGATTCTTTGTTGGACTTAACAGTTGTTTTGAGTTATCAGAGTCTGACTTATCGAGATTTCACTGTATATAAGTGTATATTCAATCTCCCATATCAGATTAAAATTCACAGTGCTTATGTTATCCCGTAATTTATTTTCTCTCTTTTTACGCTACAGCAACGAACATTGGAACGGCTCAGCCCATCACCGAGAAGAAATACACGTGCAATGCTACAAATTACTACCCGGATCAGATGCAAAAAGGTAGGATACGCTGTCTTTATCTGATATTCGCAAGAAAAATGGGAACTGGTTAAATGGTTTTGGCGTAACAGGTCGAGTTATGTTTTTTTCTAATAAAGTTTTGTTCATGAGACTGTTGTTGGTAGGCGTACTGTTTTTGTTGTTGATATTTTATTGCTACTAAATCTGCAATCTCTCAACCGGCTGTTTTGGATTTTTTTGGGAGGTGTGTTTTTTGGGGGGTTGCTGTAGCCATGATAAGGAATCTTGAAAAATCGTTTCAGTCGGACTTTCGGTGATAATTTATCAGAAAAACGTGGAGTCTTGGATGGTCACTCTAAGCTTCAGTAGCGTGAATATGTTGCTCATGACTTGGGTACAATTTACAAACAGGACTGTTCCAATCTGCGTCAGATGCGAGTTTACAGTGAGAATTATAGCGACAAGGAGACTTTGTAATATTTTAACGGTAACCGGATATAATTATGTTTTTCAGACCTGTCGTTAAGTTACATGTTTCGTTTCGCCAATTACAAAAACATATTGTTAATAAATTGAGATGAAATTAGATGACACTTGATTTTGTTTGATTGTGTTTGTTTCTTCAACAGCAAGTGCCAGTGCGTTCCCGTACCCAGTCAGCTCTCACGTGGACACAAATTCCCGGATGCAACGAACAGGTAGGACAAAACTCTATTTTTTTTTTCGTTTTTTTTTTTCAAAGAAGGTAGTAATGGAATAAGTTTGACTAACAAATCATAAACCGCGAAAGGTCTTTTGTTTTCTTTTCCATGGCCGGCAGTCAACAAGAACCTCGCCGTGGCGCGGTTCAATTTCGTTCGGAATTCCCCACAAAAGGGGAGGAGTACAATTGAATAAGGGGGTGGTTATGTCGTGTGAGGAAATAAGTATCCCTGTTGGGTATGTCTTCAAAGTAATTACCGTCAGGTATCGATTTTGTTGTTGAAGGCTGTTTTGTAAGCTATCGAGAAATACTTTTGTTGTTACCTTTTGTTCTGGGGAAAAATTTCGTTCATAAATAACCTCGTCAGTTCCTTGACCTTTTCGGCATTGCCTTTTCGCTATCTCTTAACCCCCCCCCCCCCCCCCCCCCCCCCCCCCGCCGCTTCATCATCTGTTGAATCGCACCCCATCACCTCGCATTTCATGCACTGCCGGTGATCTCCAATATCTCAACTACCGGTGCACCAACGAAACAGGTGAATTTTTTTCCCTCATTTGTTTCGTGCTTCTTCTCCCTTCGTTTTTTTTTGTTATTTTTATTTGAACCGATGACACCAATAAATGAAAATCCCCCGTTGATCAAAAAGACCGGCGAGCGTAAGTAAGTGTCTCGGGCAACGCTCGTGGGCCACGGAGCTGTGGGAGAGATGACTGCGCGCGGTGTGTGCGGAGGAGTTTGTTCTCCTACGGTCGGAAATGCTCACCGGACCCGCTCAACCGTCATGTTTTCCTCGGCTCGGAAATTGTGTACTAAAAGCCCCCGGTCCCCTTTCAGGCGCGCTCAGTCCGAAAATCGGCCAACAATAGGGGTATTTCATTGCCCATAACGTCAGTTTAGTCGTCTTGGCGAGCAATTAAAGTGACGCGGGCAATATGTTCGGCAGACGAGGCTCGTTTTTATTCCGAGTTGCTGGAGCTTAAACGGTGGGCGACTGCGGCTCCCGAGACAGAGAGAAGGAGTAGGGGGAAGAAAAGAGTCATTTTTTGTGTATTGTTAATACGAGAGTGACTTATTTGGGCCGTGAAAGTACGCCATTGCAAAGAGTTTAAAACTGACTTGTGACGCTGAAAGCCGCACGAACAGCGGCGCCTGATCAAAAAAAAACAGCAAGTACATTCACAGGGGTAAAGGAAGAGTTTTCTCCAAGTCTGTCAGACCAAGGTTTGAGAACTGTGACGAGATTGGAGGACGGGTAATTGGTTGGATTCCAGTTTTATTTATGATTACTTTTTTTTTTTTTTTGGTTGAGCTCCGAACCGGTTGTCCGCTTCTTCCCTCGGTGTTTGGAGGGTGTGTGCGTGTGCGTGCAGCGCGCCGCATCGCGCCAAGCCCGTGATTGCAAAAAAAAAAACGGTATTGATTTTTCTTTTCCTCGCTGGCGGATTGCCGGCTCTAGACCAAGAGCGGAGGAGGAAATAGTCCCTTTGTTGTCCAGATCCCCCCGTTATGAATTTCTGCCTGTTGCAGGTGCTTTTTGCGGCTGTTTTTTTCTCTCTCTCACCCCCCTCCATCTCCCGTGTCTGTCTCTCTTTCAGCTTTTCTCTTCCAGGATTTCAATTCCAATCCTAGCCTCCAACGATTGGGCTAAGATTTCACATCCTGTGAGCGACTATCAATTTTCACATGAATTTTCCGAAGAAGATAAAAAAAAAAGCCAAATGGGCTGCCGGCGCGGGGGGGAGCGCGGGGTTGATGAGGGGAGAGAGAGCGCCCGTCGACCGCTAGCTCCACTCCGTGTCTCACTCCTAAGTTCTCTCTGCCTCAACCGGAGAGGAGAAAGGTGATCCCCGTAATTAAGGTCTCTGTTGATTCATGGCTCTTGTGCCGTACACCCTCATGAAAACTGCTCCTAATCGCGGGTCCTTGGCCCCTGTGAGCAATAAGTTGGTGGAGGCAGTGGGGAATGCAAGACTCACCCCCCCCCCCCCCACTTCAGCTCCTTGCCAGTGTTAATTGTGGTCTTCCGCACGGGACCTACTCAGCCCCCATTTTCCAATATTCCCAAGCCACGTGGCCGCTTCATTCTCCCCCAGCCGCTTTCCCTCGACACCAGATCCCTTTAATAAAACCCAATAGAAAGTCATCGCTAGGCTTGGAGGCAACTCTGTGACCAATGGCCGGGGCTGCCGGGTTGCCTCCCCCCATGGATGTCGCCCTGGGTACTTGGTAAATAACTCCAAATAGAGAGATCAAAATGTAACACAAAGATGTCGAGAGAGAACTTCTGTATATGAAAGAAATCAGAGATCTGAATGTGCCAATATTTAACCCCTATTTTAAAGGCACGTGGGCGAAGAGAGCGTGTCGCACGTGTCCCTATTTTTACGAACAAGAACAGGGGAGGGGCAAAAATGTCAAATATAACCTCTACTACCGGTAAACTGACATTAATGAAACCATAGTTGTCCCTCGCTCTAGGGTTTTATGTTTCATGTTGTCGACATTCCCGTTCTGGCTGGAATGTTCTTCAGCTGCTGTGTCGGTCTGGTGTCGGTCTGCAATACACTGTAAAAATGGTGCTTAGGATTTAAACACATTTCTAAACACTTATTCTGTACCCACTTTTTCCACACGTTTAGCATCATGACATGTTTAGATGTCCTTTTTCTGTGACACGCATTATCCGTTTGACATGTTCAATGAATAATATGTTTAGCATTTAAACACCTTCCTAAGCGCATTTAGATATACAATCCTAAGCACATGTCCAAAACGTAAACACGTTTAGTTTCACAACATTAAAAAGTGGTAAACGTTTAGAATTGAAACACATTCCTAAACGTTTTAAACTCTAAACACGTTCTGATGTGTTTAAATGCTAAACACTGTTTTTACAGTGTATGTGTTGTCTGCATAATCTCTGTAACGAGAATAATTGAAAGACGCTTAGTTCCAGTATGAACACTTTTGCCAGCGCCATTTAATCTTGGCTAAACATTCTCAAGACTTTTTTTTATACAAACATGTTTTTAGCACCGTTTTCATAATCTGTAGAGGCCTACTCGTTGTTCCTTTATGATAACTTATAATTGTCTCTAATTGCAAAAAAAAATGACATTTAGTATCGAAAATCGGCAATGTTCAGAAACCTCGTACATTGTGTCCAGCAACCTGCAGTTGTTAACAAGGAAGACAATGTCATGAGCCAATTAGCGTGCTCACTCCTTGACATGAAACAGAATTGTTTTATAAAGTCAGCTTTATATTCCCAGATGCGCGTAGGCCTACATGCAAAAATAAAAAAAATAATATTAAAAAAAATAATAATAAAAACATGTTCCTCATTCGACACTCTACACACAGAATGGCCAGTTCTGATTGCGAATATTTTGTTGAGGTCGTCTTCTTCAGTATGTTGTCATAACAGTCCCAGTCAGATTTAACTTATTTTGATGCCTTTGATCTTTTTTAATGGTTTGTGCAAAAGAGCGCCGAATATGCTCACTTCGAGACATGAATCAGATTGTCTTTATGTAGTCACCTTTACTTTGCCGGATGTGTTTACATTTTAAAACAACAACAACAACAACAACAACACATGTTTCACATTCGACACTCTATACACCGAATGGCCAGTTCTGGTTGCGAATATTTGTATTAAGGTTGTCTTCATCAGTAGATTTTCATGACAGCAACAGTCAGATTTAACTTATTTCGATGGCTTTGATCTGTTTTTATGGTTTGCGCAAGAGAGCACCGAATATGCCAATTAAGTTTTTTTTTAATCTCAGTTCATAGTGGATTTTTTTCTTCTTGTTCCCCCCCCCCCCCCTTGTCTTGGTAGTCTATCGTGTTCTCCCTTTCCCCTCCTTCCTTGACCTTTTTTTCTTCTTTCTTTCTTGCACCACGCGACCCCTTTGGCCCTCTCGTTCGCGTCTTTTGTCAAACTGGAGCAGCCTCCAGCGCTGTGTAGAAGCATCTTGGCAAGCACTTCTAAGCCCCAAATAGTGGCGGGGAGATGTGGAGCGCGCGACCGTCGCTCATTGTGCCCCCATTTTCTGCTTCTCTCCTCAGTACCGTGGTATCGTGTGGATTTGGTTGAGAAACCCAGTCACACTGGTTACTCGAGGCCAAATCTTGATTGGCTAATGGACACCATTAGCCAGGCCCTTTGTGCTCGCGTTTGGAACAAGTGGTTCGGTCGAGAAGTGCGAGAATTAGAGACAGTGAGAGAGAGAGAGAGGTATTGAGAGACGGCTCAGAACGATTGCTAATATTCCACTTCCCTGACTTTCGTCTTATTTTCCTGTCAGTCTCTCTCTTTTTTGGCGGGAATTGTTTAGCGCGAATTCGGTTTTCATCAGGATCCGGTGGATGATCGGCAGGGTTAATTTGATTTCGGAGCATGCCGTGCGCGTAATTCGACGTTATTGATGCCATTTAGGCCTCGTCTTATCGCCAATTCCTGCCAAGCGCTCAACTCGAATTTTTAGTCCGTGTTTTTGTTTTTCTCTCCTTCTTAATTCCATCTATATACGGTTGAGCATCCTGTATGAGACTGCTCGGCTTTTGAGATGGGGATGTTCGCACGCTATATCCCTTGTTAGCTTTCGCAGCGGGGTGCAGTTTGTCCGAGATGCACCGCGCTCGTGCCCAAACAAAATGAAGCGAATGGCGCTGCAAATGAAGCGTGCCGCGCCATTGACACTCCCGGCCAATATTATCCAACAGCGGTTCATAACCCGGGCTGACTTTCATTCTCCTCTCTCTAGCTCTCCGTTCGTTCCCTTGCTCGCCCGCGCCCCGGAGTTGAATGTCTCATTATATAGCCACTAAAGCCCTCGCGAAACGAATATTGGCTCCGCGAAGGATATTTATGTTCCGATGGCCAACACATATACCGCGGGCGATTTTATTACAACCCCGAGATTCGGGCACCGGTACACAGCTCACTCGCTGTCGAGGCGCACGAGGGGGATATTGCCGGCGAAGAAGAAGAAGAAGAAGAAAGGAAAAAAAAACTAGAGGACAGAGGGGAAAAGGGCCGGTGATCGGAGCTGGCAACCGCAGGAAGAGAGCTCGTCAAATCGGGAAATGTTGAAGAGAGTGGGAAAGGAAGGAAGCTCGTCTTGGAATTAATTGCGGAGAAATCTGCCTCTTCCTCGATCAGCTCCGCGCTGCGAGCCAAATCTCCTCTCGCTTGGGTGAGCGCGCGCACGCTGCCTGCGTACACGCACGCATGCGCAGGGGGATTGGGAAGGCATGCATCCTCGTCCGAGTATTATAGAATCTAACACAACAAAAATGAGTATCGGAAAAAAGTGAAGTCCTTCGGAAATGAAGATCACCAAGGCTTTACCGGTTTGTGTGAGAGTTGTATCCTTATTAGGTTTTATGAAGTGTTTTTTTTTTCTTTTTCCTTCTCTATCTTCTTCTTCGCCTCCTCTGATGTCAGCGCGCGATCATCTTTGCGAGCCGGCGGACAGGATGGTTGCGCACCGATTTTAATTAATGGCAATTCGCCGGGAAGAGGTTTGAAGTAGCAATTTCTGGTCCGGAGCGGGAGGACGTGATAATCTATTGTTTAGACTGTCTCTCCCTCGACGGTGCTCGGACAGGCATTAAAAAAAGGGGGGAAGAACTAATATCATCTTGGGTAGATACTCTCCGTCTGGGACGGGGTGCTTCCTTCTGCCCGACCCATCCCTCATTTATAACCGTCAACTTGACTGAAGCCATGATTAATACCGCGTAGGCAGACTTGATATGATGACCATTACGCAGCATGCGGGGTCTCCGAGCGCGACAGTGTAAATATCAAACTTTAAACCCTTCAAACAGACTCTCGAGTCCCCCATCTTCCCCCACTCTTCCGTAATCTCACAGGCAACTTTAAAGGGCCTCGGTGCTGACACAAAAATCTGAAACACCTGAACCGTTTTAAAGTCTTCATGAAGTCTTCTACGTGCCCAACCCTATACCTGAAGGCAATCCATGCTTGCTTGCAAAGAGGTTCGTGATAAGAAAGAAATGAGGTCAACAAAAAGGGGGAAAGATCAGAGATAAAAACGTGCAGGAGGATTGTACACAGTTGATTTGCATAATCATTCAACTTCGTAATAGCTTGGAGGGTTCATCTCCTACTTATCAAAATCAATCGCTAAAATTCGACTGCGTCAAGGACAGAATTGTCGCATGGTTTCAAATGGATGGATATTACATCACAGTTTCAGTGTGTGTATTGCTCAACCATTTCTAAATGATTGCTAATTAGCGATGTCAGTGCGTCCATTGTTATGGTGAAATGTTTGTTCACGTCCCATCATTGAATCGTCCAGCTGGAAACAGTGTTGGTTGTAGCCGCGGCGCGGCGGTTACTTTAATCTCCATATTTTTTTATTTATAACTTAATTAAAATTCACTTAATCATCCTGGACTCTGGCAAGACTTTGCATCGAGCGAGTCTCCTCGTTGCTACTACTGCTACTTATACTACTACCGTATTCCGACGTGACATTAATCCCTCCAAACGATCACCTTTTAATGAAAAAATGGACCAATTTACAAAATAATGAGAGTTGCTTTATCTGCCGCGCGCGGCGCGCATATATCGCCGGGCTAGCTGCGGGCCACCGTGGCTCGAGATGG